GCGTTGTTTTTAAACTTGTAGTCAAGCTATAACGTATTTAATATTTATGTATTATTAAAATCATGCAGGGATTAAAAATGTTTTTTTCCCCCCCTTTCTGGTAGCCTACTAGTTCGGAGGTCTCTTTTTGGCCCGTTTTAACTAAATAAAAATAACTGCTTTATTTATTTAGAAGCAGGGTAATTAAAAAAATTTTTTTTTTATGTATTGTCATTTTTATAAGTTTTATTTTATTAATCAAAAATACAACACCCACAATATAATATTCAGTGTTGGGCTACCGAAACTTCGAATGCATGCATGTTGAGGGCCGAGCTTAGAAGCCTACTAATGTTTTCATCCGTTTGCAACAAAACTTTATCGTTTTGTTGCAAATGAATTAAGAATTTATAGTGCTATATCTCAGCTTAATTAATCATAATTATATTGTATTCACGGTTTAAAAAATCTGTAAAAAATTACACTGAAATGTGCGCTGAAGGAATTTGTGTATTTTAATTATATTCATCATGTTTGGGGTTTTTCATCATTATACAGTCTGTTTAAATAAATATTCACAAACACATGCAGTGCTACTTTGTCTTTTTTCTGTTTAACTTTTATTAAACTGCAGATCAAAATAGAATAGGCCTATACCCTAAATAAGGTTAAATTATATTGGAACGCATCTCCAAAATAATCGCATACACAGATGCACGTTGCCATTACAGTAGTCAGTGCCGAACAACAGGCAAATAAAATATAAACTGAGGTTACCAAAGTGATTCAGTCAAGATCAGTGAGGGATTTTCTTTTTTTTTGTTCTTTGATTAACATTAATGACTGGCGGCAGCGGCTGCTGTCAGTGCACGGATCCAATACATCCTTGTTTCCTTTCTCAACTTTTCGTTCACTTAAGACATAACCGATTGTATTTATGGGATATTTTGATATAATTCTATTTGTATGTCCATTCGAATGTGTAAGAATGCGAGAAAGAGAGCTCAGTCCAGTGTATTATAATAAAATAATTTAAAACAACTAGCCTATAGGGTCCTAGAAATGCGGTCCTGAATAAAACAGGATATTTTGTAAATATTTTTCCCCCTGAACTTTTAAAAATGATCATGTACTGTATAAAGCATGTATTTACAAAAATAAAGGGGGGGGGGGGGGGGCCACAT